AACCCTTTTAGTTCGGGCGCCATTGTAGAGACATTAGGATTTTTGGAAGCAAGAGGGATGAAAAATTAGCAACCGCCTTCGCCGGGAATTGAACCACGGACCTCTGAAATACCGGCTCAGTGTGCTGACCACTACACCACGAAGGTACGCTAGGAAAGACCTTATAACCTAATGTCTCTGCAGTGGCGCCCGAACTAAAAGGCGGTGAATGATGATCCTTTATCACCAGGATTTGGCGACTGAGTCCCCTAAACCCCATTCGCCATTTAAAAGGGGGAGTATATAAGGTATTTCTCCCGCCTTCTTAGCATGCCTTCGTGGTTTAGTGGTCAGCACTCTCCAAGCGTATTCGAGAGGTCCATGGTTCGAGTCCCGGCGAGAGCATTGCTCATTTTTCTTCTCTCCTGCTTCCGAAATAACCTAATTTGTCTGCAAGTTATTAATTAAAGTACTGTGTGTACAATTGATTGCCAGTTGCTGGAAATTCTAATATTTTCAATAGTAAATGCATTAATATATCATCTGTTATTTTGCATTAAAGATTTTCTCCACGCAAAAGTTCAAGTTTCTGATATCTTCTGAGATTTTTGAAAGCATGTACATCTCTAAACTTTTAATTTAGCACGATTTTCAATAGACACGAAACCTCGTATTAATGATTTTTTCATTCATATGACTAATTAATGAGAAGAGTTCAGATTTAACAATTTCAGTATTAATATGACGGCAAAACTTGGCCCCTTTTCTAAGAATCAATTAAATCTGCTAATTCTGTTAAGAACGACATTTGAAATTGGTACATTAAATAATTGGTTTATTAAAACTTCTAAAATAGTTAATCAGCATGCCAAATTCTTAAAAGCGTTTGCACACATATCTACGTCTACAATCTCATAGACGAGAAAAATTTTAACTTCTGAAAATTCATCTAATGCTGTAACTGCTAATTTTCATTTTGGGGCATATGTTTTTACTTTATAGAATTAGAATTATATCTTAGTTGCAGTTATTTGTAATACTAAAAATCTAGATTTCAATTAGCTTTCACACTCCTGACCTCAGCATTTGAAAGCGAACATCATTTTTCATTGGACAAATCATGCTCTCAGAATGTTGCTCCTAGTAGCCAGTTCTTTACTAACGATTGTTTAAATATTCGTTGACTGGCTACATCTTCTCAGTGGTGCAGAAACGAATTCCAGTTTGTTATTTAATCATAATCTTTAATCGAAACCATGTTAAATTCCCCAGCTGTCGAAGCAGTATAAATGTGCCAACGTACTGATCTTCCTTCTAGTCTGTAAGAGACGATATACAGGGTGGTCATAACTGTCAACTGTATTTATACCACCGCCCGTGAACCCAGTCACATTCAGGGACTGACACAAAGTACCAGTTGAAGTCACACAAAGATGACAATAAACACGCCTGCTGGGCCTAGGGTCACACACCCCCGAGACACCAACAATTTTTTTAGGCTCCCTCTTTCCCACCGCTAAACACGGGCCAGTCAGAACCAACGTCCCAGCCAGAACGAGACCACGGTGGGGTGGGCTTGGAGCGATGACTGACCTTTCATAATGGCTACCTGCCAGCACTACACGGGATGCCCCTCTGATTAGGCTTTACATGGAATACCAAGGACAGCAGTGAATGAACGCTGAATGGCCAGGTGCTATTTGGCTACCAATACCCTGGTGGAGGGGACTAACACCTCCCGGCCCATGAAGAGTGAGTATAGAACCCACCCCATGGACCATCGGGAACCACCAAGTTCATAAATTTTATAACCCCGTGATCGAGACTGGTACACATCGTAGCCAGTACTTTGCAGAGTACTCTACGTCAGCCCCCCCCCCGGGGGGAAGGGTGGTCATAAAAACACTTCACCGGTAAATGAACTCCAAATAGCCTATTCACTCAACCAAACCAAAATTAAATTTCAGATTTGTTATTTGAAGGTATGCATTCTAGATTGAGATGATATAAAACAGTAGAGCCCTCATGGTTACAGTTACAATGAAAACATTTCGAACGGTAAAGCTCTCCTTTTTTTCTACGCAAATTGATCGGCGCATCGAAATTCCATAAATGGCATTGGAGAGATACACGTAAATGGCATTGGAGCGTATGGACGAAAACTGTCGGCGTAAAATATTTGCAAAGAACAGCGCTGTAAAGGACGGAGGACAACACAAGAGAGGAGATGAAAAAAGCTTTTATTAGAATTACGTGCTTTCAATATGCTCACCTTCGCGGACGATAATGCATTGCATGCGGGAGATTATTGACAACAATGACGATGGTAACATCGCTGAGGAATACGCAACTTCACAATTTATGGCATCTTTCGATCCTGACAAATCCCGTGGGTTTGATGCGTACACTTTAGATTTCAGATAACCCCAGAACCAGAAATCCATTGAAGTGATGTCGAGAACACCGGTGACCACGGAACTGAAAAGTTACGGGAGATGACTGTATTTTGAAACGTTGTACATGTTGAAAACTTAAAATCCCAATACCTTCTTTTCCCTCTCCTCTCTTGTGTTTTCATTGGCCTTTCACAAAGCTTTTCTTTGCAGACGTCTTACCTCGGCAGTTTTCGTTATACCTTGTATCGTTCCAACACCATTTACTTTTTTTCAATGGGCTGATCAGTTTGCACAAGAAAAAAAGGGGTGTTGCCTTTCGAACATGTTGAATTATGTGCACTGTAACCGCAACCGTGAGAGTTCTATTGTTTTAAATCATTGCAATCTCGAACACATACATTCAAAATAATAATATTTTAAATTTCCTTTCGATTTATTGAGCGGCTAGGTCACTAGGAGTTCATATGTCTGAGAAGTTTTCTTACCACCCTGTATTTAGGCAACGGTATTAGAAGGCTAGTTGTTGTAAGTACTGATGAGGCAATTTATAACAAATACTTACTCCTGCTTTGTTTCTATGGAATCAAATAAATCTTTGTATAATACTGAATTGTTGATGCAGGCACAAATAAAAATCCACTATCTACGCATTTCCTTTCTAGAAAATAAGAAATCATTGTTGATACCCCTAATAATTTTGAAAATTCCAAACATAATTTCGAACAGATATCAGCAGAGAAAAAATCTATTATTAAATTTAGGAAGTGGTTTTTAGTCCAAAGGGACTTTGTCCCTGAAGAACTATTGTTTTCGTTTTGCGATTTGCGTTGAAAACTTTAAAAGGCTGCATCACTTTTCAAATCGTTGCCACCAAATACTATCGCCCTGTATTATATTTGAAGAAATAAAATAATGAAGAATCTGCATAAATGTATGTATGTTTCTCGCATTGTGAAAACACAACGGTACCTAGAGCCATCCAATTTTAAATGACGTAATCCTACTGCGAATATGGGCATCTGAAAGCCCAAATTTGGAAATTGTTTTATTATCGATTTCCTATTTTGTAAAACTTTAATGAATTTTTTATGAACAAACTTAACGATTTCAAATCGACCAACGGCAGCACTCTACGGGGAGAAAAAACCTTTTTATCTCCAGCTCCCCGCGGAACTGGTGTCGGAAATGCTAAAGATATACTCATTTTAAAATTATTTTGCGACATAGTTGTTAAACTTAATTTTATGGTTTAAGTGCAAAGAACATGATATTTAATAAATAAAGGTAACACACAAAACGTTAAAAAACGCCCATTTGGACGTAATTTTAAATATGAAACCTTTCAAATTTTTTCTTTTTATATCTTGACAGGAAAAGTAAATGTCATGGTAAATCGAGTATTTTTTGTAGATTTAAAGTTATCTTACATCATTTAATTCCAAGATCTACAAGTTCGCTCCTCAAAACTAATCCAAAGGTCTGCTCTCTATTCCTTTGCGCGTTTAAAATACTTAATATGAATTTTATGAATATTATTTCTAAGCAAATCAATATTTTTTTAATTTAAAAATTAAATTTAAAAATACGGTGCATTAATTAATGTAATACATTAGTTTTATGTAACCCGTGATATAATTATTTGAATTCATCTCTTCTTTTGAATATAAATATATATGCATCGTCAGCTCAGTTTAATATCTGAACTGAATTTTAATTCCATTATTATAGATTGTCATTTACAATTAAAATGCATAAAGTTGAAAAACGGAAATCACATTATTAGCCCAAAGAGCGTTAGGCCAGAAGGGCTATTAATTTCGTTTTGGAACTTTACGTCGAAATCTTCAAAAGTCTGAATCACTTTTCAAATTGTTGCCACCGAATAGCCTGTAATATCTGTAAAAAAATTAAATGATGAAGAATCTGCATAAATGTATGTCTATTTCGCATTGTGATAAAACAACGGTTCCTAGAGCCATCCAATTTTGAATAAGGTACGTCTCCTACCGAATACGGACTTCTGGAAGCCCAAATTTGGAATTTGTTTTATTATCTATTTCATATTGTCTAAAGCATTTATGAGTTTTTGATTAAGAAACTCAACAATTTCAAAGCGAGCCATGGCAACACTGTACGAGACAAAAGCAGCGCGCGAGACTGTGTATCGGGAATTCTAAAGATATGCTCTTTTCAAATTATTTTGTGATATTGTTGTTGAATTGAATTTTATGGTTTAAGTGCGATGAACATAATATTTATTAAATAAAGGTAACACATAAAGCGTTAAAAAAACGCCCGGCGCAATATAAAATCTGAAAACTTTCAGATTTAAAAAAAAATTAATTTACAAACACTTTATTAGAATGAAAGTACATTTTATGGAAATGGAGTGCTAGGCATTCTAACTTCTAGACTTTTCTTTAAAGCGTTGGTTCTCAGTTTCGTTTCATTTGTGAATTGGAGCAAAAAAAATGTTTAAGATCCTTTGCTTTAGGGGTTATTTTATTCTTATCATGAAGTAGTTAAGACTTGCTATATTATAAATAAACTTTTCAAGTCAATTTATAACCATTTTATTTTTGATTGATAAACAATATTCTCTAGTACGGAAGTTATATTTTTCAGGAGATGCAAAGAATGGCTTCAGGAAAGAACAAACTTCGAGAAAATTCTTCTGGCATTATCCAGTGCATTGTTACTCAGTTTTTGTTTAGCCATGTTGTTTGGGATCACTTACAAAGGTATGTAAGAAAGAATTCATCATTCTAATCTCTTTTTGAAAGCGTTTGATGATATGCTTTGTTTTCAGGAATCTAAATAACAGTAATACGTTCTTTTATCTACCAATCAAAAGTGCTCATTATGCTGATTGGTAATGCAAATTCTTGAATGTAAAATGGGTGGATTTCATAATAATTTTCATAACTTTCTGTAAGTGTCATGCAAAGATACGAGATATTATTTTCAAGAAGTTCATAAGAAATAAATCCTACATCATCGTAAGTCCTGTAACGTTAATGAATTTGACTTGGTCTTTGACTGGTATGATGGTCCCATGAACCAGGGCATCACGTTTTACTGTTATTTATTTTTAATTTTTTCATTTATATAAATGTCATATGCGTGTACGTACTTTCATGGTTTTCGGCGAACATATACTTTTTAGTGCACTTTATCATATGCTAATGACAAAATGATTAAGCATTCCTTTGAGTAATAGTTGAAACTATGTGTTTGACTGACCATACATTCCTATATAATTAACTATACATCTGAAACACGAGAATCAGAATTTTATTTTGGATTTAAATAGAAATCTTTCGTTATACCATTTAAAGACGAAGTCATTATTCATGTGTTTACATCTATCAAAAACAGCATTATTTGTTTTGGTTATCTGTTAGTATATCAAGAAAAAAATGTACACTGCAAAAAAAAAAAAAAAAAAAAAAAAAAAAAAAAAAAAAAAAAGATGAGACAGTTTTATTTACACCTCCCGTTCTCCTGGGCGACTTGACGAAATTCAAATTGCGGTTTTCATGTCTCGAAAGTGTGACTTAGGATATATATAAGATTTATATATAGCATCATTCTAACATAAGTATTTTGACACAAAATCGGGCTTTTCTGAAATGGCATACCATTTTGTTTCCATATTTTGATTCAACGACTCAAATTACAGTAAGACCCCGCTTAACGCTGTTTCGGTTTAGCGCTCTTTTATTTCAACCCGGGGATTCTCCGAAATTGTGCGCAGCGCTAGGTTTCCAAATAACATATCCGAAACAGTGTAGTTGTGTTTCTTGCTTTTTAATCATTTGAAACAACATTTGTTGACATTATTGTAAGTTTAAATTTGCATAATACTATAACGATTAATTACAGTGACAAATAGTATGTAATGATCTTTAGTTTTTTTATCATGGGTGATAATAAAAACAAGAAAAGAAAGCAACCCAGAAAAAGCATTTTCACTGGAAAAACTCAAATGCAAGTGATTAGAAGATTAGATTCTGGTGAACGTCAATCTCAAATTAGTGCTGCATTTGATTTTGGCAACTTCAACAATAAGGAGACAATTCTTAAGAATAAAGAAAAAATACTGTCATCGGCAACTGCAACTACGTCAAGCTCTGCCTGCAACTAGAATTACCCGTTCTAGAAAATCACATTATAGAGGAAATGGAAAAAAACGACTGTCTATATGGATTGACGACGAAAGTGAACGCAAATATGCCATTAAAATTAAGGCCAATCTAATCTATCATAATGCCTTCTTGACAAAAAGGCAGAAAATTGGAAAACCCAGAATAGACTGAATGATCTGACTGAGAATTTTTTAATTTGTTTTTTTTAAATAGTATATGCGTTTATATGTTTTTTTTTATTTTTGTAAGAAATAAATGCTTGATTTTTATTTTTATTAAAAAAACATTATTAAATTTATGCCTAAACCCATTTTTCAATTTTCCATTTTTTCATCCGTCTTCCCCTCTCCCCTAACCCCATTATTTACATGTTAAGACAGCCTCGCTTAGCGCTGTTTCGCATTACGCTCTACTTCGATGGAACGTATCCCCCGCGTTAAGCGGGGTCTTACTGTATGTCTAAATATAAAATTTTGTAAAATTTGGTGCGAAATTTACGGAGAAATCCAAAAATTAATCTTGCTGTATTTTTTTTAAGTTTCCGCCAAGAATAATTTTTTTGGCGAACTTCTTAATTGATAACAACCTATTTTCCTTTTCTTTTTTTCATTGTAGAACGAGGGGGGAGGGAAAGTCATCATTTGTACTTTCAAATAATTTTAAGAAAGAGCGTATTATCGTTTAGCGTTATTATCGCTCAAAAAAAATGAAGCCAAATTTCAAAACGCTCCAATATATAAATTCACGTATATGTTAGAAAATTTTGAATAAAAACACTAATTTTTTTAAAGGTGTATCTAGAAATACATCTACTTTAAGATGAGGTTAAAAATTTTATAGGTTATAATACAAAATGTTTTTCAAAAAAAATTATAAAAAATATTTTAAAATACAAATTTTAAAAATAAATCACAAAAAATGTGCGAATTGTATATGGATTAAACTTAAATTTCGAATTCTGGAAGAAGAAATCAAGCAAGTTTAATAAAAAAAGAGATGTTAATAAATATATATCAAATTCAATTAACACCGGGGAGCTAAAATTTTGAGAGCTAAGATTTTTAAAAACAACTCGTGCGATTTTTACGACACTTAGCTTGAGTCATAAAATCGAAATATAGAAAAAAATTGGCATGTTAATTCGAAAAAAGTCCGATTTTGAATTAAAATGCCTATATTAACACAACGCTATATATAAATCTAATACATATGCTAAGTCGCGCTTTCGAGACATGAAAAACGCAATTTGAATTTCGAATCGCCCCAGTAGAACGAGGTATAGAACTATCCCAATTTTTTTTTCTTTTTTTGTGTGTGTAGTGTACTTCTTTTCCTATATGTTCAATGCTGAACGCTTTACACTAGTAAAAAATTTATTATTGATTTATCTACATAATTACGAAGACGTTACAGTTGAATCTTTCTATAAAAGTCGATAACTCGATAAAACTTCGGTATGTTTTTAATAATTCAGGTTTAAAATTTGAGATATTTATGTATTGATTTTGAATAGCATTTTTTAGAGACATTCGGTATTATTTGGAAGCAGCAGAAGTGAAAAATTAGCAACGCCTTCGCCGGGAATCGAACCACAGACCTTTGGAATACGCGCCCAGCTTGCAGACCACTACACCACGACGGCACGCTAAGTTCCAGCTTTTTTTGTAGAGACATTAGGTTTTTTTTTTTTTTTTTTTTTTGGAAGCAGGAGTCATGAGAAATGTGCAACGCTTTTGCCAGGAATCGAACCACGGACCTCTGGAATACGCCCCCAGCGTGCAGAACCACCACAACCCGAAGGTACGCTAAGAAGGCGGGAGAAATACCTTATATACTCCCCTTTTAAAAGGCGACTGAGGTTTCTAGAGGACCCAACCGCCAACTCCTGTGTGTGGAGAGTCATCATCTACCACCCTTTTAGTTCGGCCGCCACTTGTAGAGACATTAGTTAATTTTTGGAGGCAGGAAAGGTGAAAAATTTGCAAGCGCCTTCGCCGGGACTCGAACCACGAACCTCTGGAATACGCCCCTAGTATACAGACCACTACACCACGCTAAGAGGTAGGCACGCTAAGAGGGCGGGAGAAATACCGTATAATTTATGCAGCTGAAACTCTTTCTTTACACTGTAAAAAGCAATGACGGCAGTCGTATACCTTTATCTCGAATAAAAATGCAATCGAACACTATTCGTTTAGTTCGGTAGCCTCTTAGTATAATATAGGGACTTTTATTAATATTTATGATATTGGTGATACGAATCGTGGCTAAGATTGATATTAAATTATGACCTAAATAATCAGGTCTTCATTTGACCTAAATAATCAGGTCAGTTGTAACGCTGCGATTATGAATGAAACATTTTTAGACAGAAAAAAACTAGCATTCAGTTTATTTTAAGATTTAACTTAAGAATATTGTATGTTACTTAACAAAGGAAGCGATTAAATAAAGTTACTTTATTTACTTACCTTTAAATGTTTCTAAATTTTTCCCACTGAGGTTTGATCAGAAAGATGGTGAGCCATCTTACGGCAAATCGGGCTAGCTGTTGCTAGCGCTTTAATAAAAAGTGAACAAAAGGGAAGAACAAAAAAATACCATTTCATTGTGACAGTCTTGTCACATAAGAGGTATTTAACTTGATTAGATTCAAGGTCCCGCAAAATGTCATCTCATAATGAGCATTATCGTTTTATTATATAGTCTTGCATTGAAAGAAATCCGAATAAAACTTCCTCATTCCGCAACCACCGCAGCATTAGTTTCTAAGCAAACGGGGGTTTGCAAACAGTAGCAAAGAGATGTCTCCTGTGTTAGATCAATGTGTTTTACTTTTAATGGCTTAGATGCGACAAACTAAACATTACAGCTTTTATGAAAATATTTTATTTACAATCAATCTCCTTAACTGTAATGAGCGTCAAGCTGAGATTCCCGAAAGGTTATTCGTGATATTTTTATAGTAGTATGTTTAAGCAGTGCTCCTAGCGCTTTGTGCTTTAAGCTGAGTCACTTACCTTTCAGATATATGTATTAAATATATAGATAGATATATAATAATAGTAAGTTTTGTTTTCGGTTTGGTTTAGTAGATCATGGCAAAGCACACTAAGGTTATCTGCCTAAGGGGAAGGATGCCTTTGTGGTTAACTTTCTAAGGAAAACCTGCTGGTATACACGTTGCACATGGAAAAAAGCACGAAACCGCCCATGCAGCCAGCCTGTTAGTCTGGAATCGAAGCCAGGTCGGAACTATTAGTGTTCAGTGATTTTACCGCTGGTCGGTTGGTGGGTCATAACAGCTGTAAAATCACAGAACATTTTTTTCCAGTGGCAGGCACTTGCCTATAACGGCTTTGGACACTCCTAAGGCCAGAAGTGGAGGCCATTTTATCGTGTAGGCCCTTAATAGGCGGCCATCGCTACCACCTATAAAGGGACAGACAATTTTACATCCATGCCTTCTCCGGGATTTGAACCCGGGACCTTCGATATCGCAGTCATGCTCTCCTAACCACTATACCGTCTGGGCGGCCAGTGAGCATTGTTAATTTGACCCAAATTAGTAGAATAATGACAGTAAAGCTGGT